TAATTTATTCTAAAATAATCTATCAACTGTTGAACTTTAGCTCGACCTGCAATTGGAGTAGGTTCATTATCTCTGGGATTGTTTTCGTCAACTTTGTCATCATAACCATTTAATTCCACATCGACTTCATTATTTTGTGCAATATTGCACAATGTTGCGCAACATTTAAAAATGTTTGTTGCGAAGACTGGATCAACTCGTAAGTAGTTTAAACATGAAAATTTTTCTTTCAATACGCCTAAAGCGTTTTCTATAATACGCCGAGTCCGTTTATGCGCTCTGTTGAAAGCGGTCTGCACTGGACTCATTGGATCATCATACGTTGGAGGAACTAACCATTTATGTAAAAGATATGCGGAATCGCCAAGAATTATAATATGTGCAGTAGGTCTCCAACCATTTTCCATTCTACGAAACAGAAAACTGTTACGATTTACTCGCGCATCGTGTAGACTTCCGGGCCAATTTGCTCTTATATAATAAAACTTTAAGTCAAGCCATGCAATTGATTGAGTGCTTACCATGGCGGTCGACGTAAGTGGGTTCGTTATTCGTGGGGGCATCGATGTATATGAGGGTTCCATCTACAATTCCACAAACCTCAGGAAATCCAGCCAAATTATGAAAGCGTTTTACTACGTTCCCTGTATTGTCGGGCCATCGAATTAATGCATAAAATTTTATTTCGTTTACACAAGCAACAACTTCGTACACACATCTGCAGACGGTCATTTTTGACACTCCATGCATATCACACACATACTTTGATTTTATTTTACTATACGGAGAATGGTCGCACTGCGCAGCTTTCTGAGTGCCTTTTAAAAGGAGATAGAAAACTCCGCCATTTTGAACCATTATTACGTGTTGCCTACATCTTGGCGCAATATTTTTAATAGGTGCGTTTTAATCATCCGCTTCTGCTTCGGAATTGTCGGTTTTCTTGTTTTAATCTGACAGGTTAAAACGACTAAACCGACAATTCCTGAAGCAGAAGCGGATGATTAAAACGCACCTGATATTTTGCTTGCTGCTGTCAGTGTCAGTGAATATTATTTTTGAAGTCACAGTTTATTGCTAAAGAATCAGTTAGCTCACTCGGACCATATGAAAGTTCCAAAATAACATCCACTCCAGGGATACAAATTCAGGATTCGCAGAAGACTGCTGTTTTACTATAGGCGGTTGTCATATTTTGTGTTATCCGAGTTGCACAGTGTATAAACTGAAACATTGAGATCAAAAGTGTAATACTTAGGTGTTGATAGTAATACACAAGTCGTAGCTATTTTATTAAGACCTTTATTAACGTGTAAAACTTGTACACACTCGTGTGTTGTCAACCATATTTTTTTTGCTTGACAATGACAATCGTTGCGCCATCTATCCTAACCTATAAGCAGCTATGAGCTGCGTTCCTACATTTAAGATGCGTTCATATTACATCTCCCTCCTTAAATCACAATGTTCAATAATATAACATAAAACATAATAATAACAATAAAATGAAAACAAACAAATGCTTTAAATGATTTTATCTACTGACTACATAATCATTAAACTTATTAGGCATTTTGACCTGTCTTTTACTTCCGCTAACTGTATCATTGCTAGATTCAACCCTGGTTTCAAAATCTACCCTTTCAGAATCTGATCTTGAGTTTGAAGGTACATTAAAAACCTCGTTTGAAGTGTTCTTTGTTAAAGACACATTACTATCAAAATTTGGCTTACTCAAAGAAAGTCTTATGTGGTAACTGTTTCTTCTAACAGTTTCTCCATTTTGTTTTCTGATTATGTATGATCTTGGTGCCCCTTCAACCTTTTCTAAAATCTTTGCAGGCTCCCACGTTCTTCCCTCTTTGATTAGCACATTTTCATTATCCTGAAATTCTTGTCTATCTGCTGTGTTTCTATCATAATAATACTTATATGTTCTTCTCTTGTCCTCCAATTTTTCTTTCTCTGCTTCTAAGTCCACCTTTTGTGGTAAAAGTGTGGTTCTTAAAGCTGGTAATCTTGACCTCAGGGTTCTACCTGTTAGTAGCTGAGCTGGCGATTTGTCTGTACCAGATACTGGGGTGTTTCTGTACTCAACTAAAGCCAAGTCCAAATCTTCACGTTTGCGAAGTAGATTTTTTGCTATCTGCACACCCCTCTCTGCCATGCCGTTTGAACGGGGATAGTGTGGACTGGATGTAACAAACTTAAAATTCCATTTCCTTGCAAAATCTTGACACTCCCTTGAATTATAAGGCATATTGTCTGTATACACTTCTAATGGAATTCCATGTGAAGCAAAGACGGATTTTAAAGCGTTAATAACTGCTTGTGATGTCTTTCTTTCTAATTTAATAACTTCTAACCATTTTGAAAAGTAGTCTATTACAATAACATAGGAGTAGGCCCCATATTCTAAGATATCACTGGCCACCTTTTCAAACGGAAATTTAGGAAATTCACGAAGAATCAGAGGTTCTTTAATGTTATTTCGTTTAAATTTTTCACATTTTGCACACTGCTGAATAGTGTTACAAATGTCCTGATTTATCAGAGGCCAGTATACAATTTGTCTGGCTCTCTGTTGAGTTTTAATTATTCCAAGATGATCCACGTGCAGTAGATTAAGGATTTTTGTTCTTAGATTTGTTGGAACTACAACTCGGCTTTCAAGAAAAAGGAGATCGTCCAGTACATATAATGTATTTCTATGCTGATAGTATGGCTTAGCTTCATTCTGAACTTTTGACAAGCTCTTTGGCCAGCCTTTTATGCAATAGTAGATAACTTGTTGAATTGCTTTGTCTGCCCTAGTTTCCCTTTGGAATTCTTGTTTCTTCTCTTCACTCAAGTTAATAGAGTGAACTATTTCAGTGATAAATTTGTCCTCCTCCTGTCTTTGTTTTTTAAAATTCCTAGACAATAGATCTGCAATAAACATTTCTTTACCTGGTTAATACTTAACCTTAAGATTGTACTTCAACAACTTGACTTTAATCCTCTGAAACCTGGGTGACTGAACCTCTGACACGCCTTTCTGCATTAGAGCTTCTAATGGCTTATGATCTGAGTCAACTTGTATTTCTCTCCCAAAGATAAAGTTATGATACTTGGAGCATGCCCATAATATAGCCAAATATTCCTTTTCTATTTGGCTGAATCTTGTTTCAGCATCAGTTAGAGACCGCGACGCGAATGCAACTGGTCTGCCTTCCTGTAATAAACAGCAACCTAGACCACTCTGACTTGCATCAGTTTGAATAATTGTTTTTTTATTTTCATTAAAGTTTGCTAATACTGTGTGAGAACTTAATATAGATTTGATTTCATCTAAAGCTTTTGTTTGATTTTTTGTCCAGACCCAGACAGAATTATTTTTTAAGAGCTCTCTTAAAGGAGCTGACGCAGAGTGAGCGATCTGATTCTTTAGCTGTAAACTGTATCACAGGGTTCAAAATGGCCGCGCCCTATGTTGGGCGTGTCGGACCTCTCTCTTGCCTCGTATAGTAATCAAAGTATGTGATATCACATAACCCATGGTATTGCCCTCTGTTTCCAAACCAATGCAGAGCAATAAGCAGTTTCTGTAATGGTGACAAACCGTATCATCGAATCGTTTGATTAGCGATTGCTGGGCCTATATCTTAAAGAAGAGTTTCACGCTGTTCTCGATTGAGTCTGAACCTTTCCAAAAATTCCCCGTCTGTCAGAATGACAAAGTTAATTCTCTCCCGATACCGATACACTGCACGAGCATTTTTGTTGTCACTTTCAGAATCACTTGACCACATATCGACAGTAAAATGATACGTTCACGGTGAAAGATTTCACTACACTGACTCTACTCACGTTTCGAGATAGGTAGAAAATTGTTGACAATTCCATAACACAACTGCACAAGTGTAGTTGTTGTATTATGGGAAGAGAATACAGCTGTACAGAAAGTTCAGTAATTACCAGTGCCTCGCTAGTTACGAGTACTACAAGTTACTTTATGTTACAGAATATCTACACTTGTATAATTTATTTGTACACTTGTTGTACTTGTATTGTTTGTGTTATAGGCCCCTGGTCTGTTGGTCAGTTATAGAGGATTTAAGCACGAGTGATGTATGAAATCATAATACTTCTCATGTTATTATATAGACCGTCAAATAGTGACAGGTTTAGGTGCCACATTTTCGCATACAAGCCTCGAAGAGGGTTTGGAAAGTACATCGATTTTGAATAAAATGAAAGGAAATTTACGAGTGGCTCCTGGAGATAACATATGGAAAATTCGATTTTTCATAACAGAAATAAAAGCTATGTGTTGCCCTTATTTCCATGCAAGACATGTTCACTAAATGAATAACTAATAGAACTAGGCTTCGGTAAATCAAATGGCTATAGGGTTGAAATAATTGCGTAATTTTGTAACGAAAAATCGAATTTTAACCGATTTTTCTACACAATCCCTTCGAATTTATGAAAATGTTTATCGTCATTAGTCCGAAAAACATATTGGCTTGAATGACCCGAAGTGCATTTTGGGGTCGGATTAAAATAGAATTTTCCATGAGTTATCCCCAAGAGCTCCTTGTAAATTTCTTTTTATTCATCTATGTACTTTTCAACCCTTTTGTAGGCTTGCATGCGAGAATGGGTCACCTTAATCTGTCACTATCTGGCGGTTTATAAGTATTTTATGAATAATCTGAATAGGTACTATTGTGCTTTTCTTCGAAGAACGCCTTTATCTTTTTATTTTGAGATATATTTTTGATAATTTTTTTTTTAATTCCTTTCGCGGTATTTTACCATGCAATGGTAATCTAATTTATAAAAAAAAACTCCATGAGAAATATGAAATATTTTATTCATGATATATAATGGTAACATTCAAATACAATAAAAGTACCTATGAATCAAAAGTCACACGACAATATTAAAAAATCAACATTTTTCTAAAACATGTATAAAATATATAAATTTCTCTTATAGAAATAATTCAATATAAACAGAAATAGCTCAATAATTTTAAAGAAGTTAATATCGAAAATTGGCACGTTTAAAACAAAAACAATTTATTTAAGTCTCTGTGTAACATTAGCTAAAGCCACTGCAAATGCTTGAAGGGCAGAAAAAGGATATTGGAAATCTAAAGTGTACGCGTTTCCATCTATTCGACCAAATTGCATCACCTGAAAAAGAAAAATAATATAATAAAACGTACCAATAAAGAATTTACAATTGCTATGCATTATTGATTAGTGAATGTGGTTTCTAATAATCATTAATACATTCTACATAGATTTCATCTAAAACTAAGTAAATTCCATGATTATTTGCTTCTTGGTTAAGACAGTATTCAAGTAAGTTTTTTTTTTAATTTTACCAAGGTATAAAAGATATAGAACTTTTTAAGCCTCTATCTGAATTGATAACCCTCTCTTAGCTCGTCAGCCAGTTTACAGATTTAATGTATTTGACAACACCGCCGCGAGGTGCCTCTTTTACGTTTGCTGGCATTAGACAATAGAGAGATCGGGCAAGGCTTATTCGCTCCGTGCGAAGTCATGGAAAGGGAAGCAAAAGCGATACTAGCGCTAGTTGCGGATAGTTCGTGCATTTTAGGGCGATATTTTGTAATTTTGGCATATCAAATACACGTATACATTTAACTTTTTTTTCAAAAAAGTAGGTAATATCAACACAATAAGCAACCGGAGTTGCTGTGTTGAAAATTGTACAAATACTAGCAAAAAAAAAACAGTGACACTTATATAAAAAATTTCACTAGCAAAGTGGAAATTAAATCAAAGAAATAAATGGAATGGTGTACAATAAGAAAAAAAATTACCTTTATTTTTGTGATAATAACAGTAATGCTGGAAATAGTAGACATCAGAAACTTAAAAGGTTTTAAATAAACAATAAATTATCATTTTATGATGTTCTTTAATATCCCTTTATTCTTAAATGTTCATTCAGCAAGGACTAGATTTCAAGATTTCTTGCTTTGATTATAATATGTGGCTGGAATGCAATTTTGTGACTTACTGATGGGAAACCAGTTTTAATCATTCATTCTGTTTTCTTTCGAACAAAAATGAAAATATAAATAACAATCCTTTTTTATACATTTTAACTTCACGCTATTATTAAATGGTATTTTTTTTATTTAGACAAATAGGCTAATTCTTCAATAACAACTAATTAGAATTAGGCAACTTCTCATACATTCTCCAGTAAATACTGTTGCCTGCCTATATTTTATTATTAATTTTTATTGATTATACATAATTTTCTTTAATTTAAGCGGGAGAAATATATAATAACAATAAATTAATGTTTTACAAATCCATATACTTTTATTAAAACTAACATATATACTTTTTATTTACGAATTCTATTAATTTTGTATTTGTCAGTATAGGCAGAAATAGTCCTTTAATACCAAAACAAATTGGCGCTGCTGTCGTGCACGGAGCGAATACCGTGAACGCTAATTGCGTACGAATGTATCCGAATTTAATATCATCCATAATATGGTGGTATGTCGTTTGTCATTTGAGGCGGTTTCCCGGTTTCATGTTTCATAGTAATTTTAAAATTTTAGTGCAGGGCCCGCTCCAAGGCTGAACAACCAGGACATTTGTCAGGGGCGGAAAATCTTAGGGGCAGCATTTTCACTGTCAGAATGTAATAAAATATTATAAATATTAAAATTAAAATATTAATAATAATAGCATGCCGCCTTTCATTTGTAAAAACATTTCTTATTACTGTTTTTACAAGAAACTTAAAATACTTGTTTTTCATCTATACAGTTGTAAAGAAAATAGGTAATTACAAAAAAATAATTATTCAATAATAATTATTAAATAAGGAACTCGGGTGTTATTTACACTATTTAATATAACCGCGCATCGCATATATACCATATAAATCAGCAAGTAGGGTGCCACATGAACTTGACTAAATTAGGAATAGACAAGAAATGACTAGTTTATTGCCTTCAATTATAAAAGGTCTTATTCCATCATAGCATTATTTTTACTAATTCTTCGGTGCTGATAACAAGTGCAACTCTCAATAATATATACTGTTGTGGTTTAACAATAAGTGTGTTTAAGGTAAGTTAACCGTTAACTTAGCGAATCTACGAAATTAGGGTATTTTGATCAGTAAAAAGCAAAAATTATTTAAAAAAAATAAACTTTTGTTTAAATTTCATATTTTTTTTAAGTAGGTATTTAAAGAAGCTCCTTCTCAGATGAAAATTAAATTTTGAAAACGATTTTTAAACAAAACAGATATATTAATTAAAAGGTTGTTTTGATAATTTTAAAAGGACCGAAATTTGTTTATGTTTCGTTAAAAAATCGTCTTTGAAATTTAATTCTCATCTGCGAAGGAGCTTTTTAAAATACCTTAAAAAGGTTATGAAGTATACGGTATAACCTAAAGCTTGGTTTTTTTTAAATAATTTTTGTGTTTTACTGATCAATAGACCCTGATTTCTTTTTTTTTTTTGTTATCAACTACTGGATGCGATCTCTTTTAAGTAAAGCTACGAATATTTTTACCTAGTTTTATAAAAAAAAAATATAAATAGCAAAAGTTTGTTAGGTATTTTATAAAATTAAAATTAAATATTTATTTAAACATTGAGCACTCTAGAATAAATCTATGCATGATCTGTCTAAATTGGACAAGAAAAATTGCCCTATTTTATACCATTTTAGATTTTGAAGCAAAATTGTGTAAAATGCAAATGCTTATAAATTTTCAAATTTGAAAGGTATCAGGTGTGGTAGGTTCATTACTATTTTACTACTATTACATAATTTAAAAATATAAAAAGCATATAAAACCGCTTAATCGTTCCCTTAGATCTTAAATGAGCATAAAAAAATGCAGTACTTGTCTAATTTAACTAAGTCTCTTGTAAGACAATTTCCTTATAATTTGCTTTGTTTTATTTCAGATATTTTGTGTATCTTCCAGGATGTGCGAGGGACGCAAAAAACTATCTGGTTGCAAATACAAAAAACGAAGGGTGGAAAAGAAAATGCAAAGGCAAAGACAAGCTGGTACTTTACTAAATTATTTACAGCGTACTTCGGGCAGTACCAAAACAAATGACAACTCAAAATGTTGTACATCAAAGACACTGACAACAGAGAATCGCCTGAGAAAAATGAGGATCAACAAATTAAGGATATACCTGAACTGATACTTGCAACTGACAGTGGCAGCCCTCCGTCGCCAAATGAGAATACTATTGATACGAACGTGGCACCTACAGAAAGCGTTCAACAACCTTTAAGTACAGATCCAGCACTCTGGCCAATAAATAAATAAATAAAATACATTTTATTTTCCATAAGACAATACAATTGTATGGGATTCGTCAAAGTACAAGTAAATAAAATAAAAATATGATAAAAGCATAAAACTAGAAAATAGAATAAAATATGGGTAGGACTTATACATCAAATTCGTAAAATTCAGCGAGATTATAAAAACAATATTCTAGTAAAAAAACTTTTCAATTTTCTTTTAAAAATAAAAAATGAATTAGGTCCCTTTATTACAAGAATGAGTCTATTAAACAATTTAGGACCTAAATACCTTGACGCATTAGATGTTACCTTCAGTCGTGCATAAGGTATATGTAGTTCGTCAGCCTGTCTGGTTTCATACCTGTGTACATTTCTATTAGTTACAAATATTTCTTTGTGTTTGTAAGTGTATAGGTACATTTAAAAAATAAAAATACAACATAGGGGTAATTTGCCATATTCCTTGAAGTATGGTCGACAAGAGCCTCTTTGTGAGGACTTAGCAATGCTTCTCAGGGCCCTTTTTTAAACAAGAAAAATATTTTTAGAGAAGGTTGAATTTCCCCATAAGCATACACCGTATCTTAGACGTGAGTCTACTTATGCAAAATATACCATAACTAATTGACGAACCTCAAGTATAGACCGTACATTCATGAAAAGAAACTTTAGCGAGTTAATTTTTTTGACCAGTCCTCTACAATGGTCTTTTTAATCGCAAGGTGTTGATCTATTTGGATTCCTAGAAAGCGAATGCTATGGTTCCCATTACTAAGAAGGATATTTTTAAGGTTCAACGTTATGTTACCTGTTATGTATTAGTATAACTCGAAATATGACAGAAAACACAGAGAACATATCAAATTTGGCAGGAAGATCCTCAAACAGCAATAAAATTAAAACTAATATGCCACCAATAGTCATAGACGGAAAAACAACCAATCAAAATACACTTATACGAGATATCAAGTCAATGACAAAAGGAGAATTCAGTATAAAACATACGAACTATACAACAATCATATTCACAGAAAACAAAGACGATCACGCGCAAGTACTGGCCAAAATAAAAAACGACCAGGTGCCCTATCACACATATACCCCAAGGGAAGATAAATCCCATGCATTTGTCCTGCGTGGACTTGCGGAGGGAACAAAAATCTCCAACATAGAGGAAAATCTTGAGGAGGAACATGATATAAAAACCCGTGCAATCTACCAGATGAAGACCAAACGAAGGCCCCTATTTCTGGTAATAACCGACCCAGTGATAACACTGGACTTTCTAAATAAAAACACAAAAAGAATACTATACACACGAGTTACTTGGGAACTTCGTAAATCCACAAAAATGATAGTCCAGTGCCACAATTGCCAGCAATGGGGGCACGCAACCTCAAATTGTGGCAGACCTCCAAGATGCCTGAAGTGCGCGGGTGATCATCACATGCGGTGGTGACCACCCCGCAAATTACACGAAATGCAACAATTATACTACAAAACTTGAGAGAATGATGGATAGGCGACCAAAAATCATGCAGAAACTAGTCCCCGCCCCCAAACCGTTAATCAACCAATGGGAGGCCAGACAACAGAATCGAAACAAAATTGATGAATTTCCAGCACTTCCCACAAGAGAACAAAGAACCAATGAAAATACAAGAAGAAACGAAGACGAAATCCCGGGACAAACGACTCCAGGCGGTGCCATGGACGATGTCTCGGCCCTAAATAATGAATTCGCGATATTAAACAGGTTGGTTAATATTGGTGAAATAACTAGAGCGGTCAGAGCCTTGAACGCTAAACTCAAAGACTGCATAACTGGACAACAAATAATTGAAACGTATAAC